GCCCGTACAGCGTCTGACAGAGGGATCAGGAAAACTGACTGTGACCATGGCGTGCTCCCAGATCTGCTGCCTGCCATTCCTGCCAGGGCCTCACAGGCACACTGCACGGCCCCTCGCCCAGGTGTGCAGGGAACCACGCTGCAGCAGAAAAGCCTCCAGGCAAACCTGGGGTCTCACTTTCAGAGCGGCTCTAGGGACAGACAATAAATCGGGGCCTGAGGGCCGTCTCGGGGCACGTCTCAGAACTGATTTTCCCCCATCCTGTGGTTTCCTTCCACAGACCTTATCTGATTCAGGTGAACAAAAGCGTACCCCAAGTTCTTAAGGCATATAAACACCATCTTTTCTACCAACAAGCCAGCGTTACCTCCCGTAATAATATTTCTTTCCAGTCTACTTAGGTCTTCAATTTCTCTTGCTCTCCTGCCCCAAAGCAACACACATTTGCTATCGCATATGCAAAAATCACCAGCTGTCCTGAAGCTAGCACGGTTGCACTGCTGCAAAACCTTCGCCTTCGCAGCATCCCCCCCTCGGCACGCTTGAGTCTTCACTCGAGCGTTCACCGAGGTCCAGTCACCCACAGAGGGCACCACTCGCAAATGGAACCCAGCAAATGCGCTGCCACTTCATGTCACATCAGCACTCAAAAAGGCTGCGGTTTCCACCCAGAGCAAATCCAAACGCTTCATGCATGTTATTACTGTCATCTCTAAGAAGAAAGGGAGCAGCAGGCCAATGCCGCACAAAAGAATACGTTTTTAAAGCGCACACTGTGCATTTGTACTCACGCTGAGATGTCAGGCAAGGCTTCCCACTTTGTATCACAGTGAAACGCCTCTAGCCCTTGAGAGCTGAAGTACATCGGTTCAGTGACATAAGGAAAGAGAATGGTACCTCAAAGGATATTTGATATTTCAATATGCAGCCATGCATGTCACTTTGTCTTGAGCAAGGATGAGGAGAGACATGCTCTTCCTCTGTCTGCAACATGCAGACTACAGGCATTCCTTGCAATGCGCTCTTAAACGTTAAAGTTAAGTTTCCATTTTGTCCCTTTACTACTGCAGCCAGTAGAATATTTTTCTAAAGTCCCCAGTTTAGGGATAAGGACATAAATGCTTTAAATATCAGAGACACTGACCTCACTGATAGGTGACCTCACTAGACTTCCTTGGGCGTCAGGATTTCAACCTGTATTTCTAAGACAGGATCCAGATCTAGTTTGCTGAGCCTGCTTTTACACATGCAAACAGAGAGGTAAGTGCAGGTTTCTGCAAACACCTACCAAAAGAGTAAAAATCGACGGCCTTCTCACCCGCCTACCTCATTTTAAGTGGTGCAAAAATCCCAGCAATGTGCAGTGTATGCACGCAGAACAGAGCAGCCAAAAAGGGAGGAAAAATATCTGCCCACCTTGTATCTTACTTCTGTGCTGCCTCCGTTGCTTGGCATGCTCCAAGGAGACAGGCAGGAATGTATTCAAGGAGGGGGACAGCTCACAGGACAGTAAAAGAAAGTACTTTGTGCTTCCAGTCCACTGAGGAAATTGCTGAGGTGTTGCTTCTTTAAATACCAGACCCACAGTTAAGCTGAAATGAAGTTTTAGTCTTCATTCAGTCTTCTCTCCTAAGTACCTCTCAACTTCTAGTTTCATTTTAATGCAGCCAAATATGCTGAAAAATAGCAGCTAGAATTTGCCTTCAATCCAAGGGGGTGATGGTGGTGCTGTCTTTTCGGTATCCCTATATTTAAAATACAACCTTTCTCAATCCAGTACAGTCTGCCTTTTTCATTTTGCCTGATAGTCCCATATTTCTCTCTTACAAACCATGAAGATTGTTTTTGTCTTCAAATCTCTCTAGAAGCTTCATCTCCTCAGCTTTCTGCAGCACAAGGAACCCAGAGAGGGATTAGAGACTAAACATACTGGTAATCACAATCATGTATTTTAATCACTGAAGCACATCCTCAAATTACAGTATTCCAAGTAGAGACCACGTAATTCAAGGCCAATACTTGAGTTCCCAGCATCACACAGTTATCACCTGAATTTCTGCTTTGGCTCTTAAGAGTTACGCACTCCTGTGCGAAGTAGATGCATGCTACTAGCACAAGTCCCCTCTAAATGGTAGTGGCTTTTTGCAGTATTGCTATAAAACCAAATTTTCTCACCCTGAGAAGAAGAAAATAGGAAGACTCAGTACAATGGATTGAGAAAGGCAGTACCAAAGCTAACAGCCTTTTTTTCAAAGGAAAATTTTACAACAATTTAAATCCAATCTGTGTTAGCTCTGCAGGACTGGCGTGTTTGGCTAGGTAAGCTGCCTACCCCACGGTAATGCAGTACAGCAAAGATCTTAGACAATTTGCTTTTCCTGCCTCCCCCAGCTTTAACACTAATTCAACCAGCAAGTTTCCCTGGAAATGCAATGTTTCAAAAAGACAATTTCAATTTTAATTCTCATAACATATGATATTAAATCCACATGACCAGTTCTCACTGAAGCCCAGGGTTCCTGTTTTCAGGGGGAGGTTCAAGCTGAGAAGACGACGTGACAGGAGAATAAGAGTTTGCTCACTAGCCCTGACTAATTCATCACATTGTAGAAGCTGAAACTACAACAGAAGTTGATGGCATTAGAGTTAAGCAAGTTCCACTTACTAGAAAAGAAACCCCACTGATAATATCCGTCCTCTCTTGAATGCACAGTTCAGGAAGGGCTCCAGACCAGGGCACGGGCAGATCTCAGGGCACAGAGCAGCAGATACAAATTCACAATCCCCTCTGAGTGCATTTATTTTCCAAAGCAGGTGCTAACGCCAACCTGCTGGAAACATATGCCTTCTGCAGGCTTGCCGAAGCCCGGAGTCGATGTGCATTACGCTGGCTCTGCCAGCACTCACAGCGATTCATTCCAGTTTCTGGGAGGTAAATGCAGGCTGGCTTCAGCCCACGGGATCCCACAGGCAGCAGCGCCCAAGCCCCCGTCCTCCCTGGGGACGCGCCCTCGTTCTCTCCCGCAAGAAACAGAGCTGGCACAGACAGACCTCAAGGGAAACACTGGATGCCCAAGATGCAACTGAGGCCGATGCCCCAAGAACATACACATGAGGACAAATAAAGATTGGCCAAGTTAAGGACAAAGCTGCTATGAAAAACAAACAGGGGACATCTTGTCTCCATTTCAGCAGGACCAGGATCTGAAGCCAAGCTGCTCTGTAAAATCCAGCAGACCCAAATGTCTCCCCTCAAAAGTGTGAGGGATCTCACAACCACTCACTCATTTTCACATTAGATGTTTGTGATTAATAATGCCAGGCAGTGACACAAAGCAGTTTGTTTATTCAGATGAACCTTTTAATCCCATCTCACCTTCAAAATAAATTACCAAATAAACTCTTCCATGAACTATGCTCTAAATCATGAGTTGGTCACAGGACAAAAACTTCCCACCAGAGAAAAGAAAAAAAGAAAAAAAACCAAACTCTTTTGGAACTCGTTTTGGTTTCACCAATTTGTTTCTTCCCAAAACGTTAATCTTCCCAAATTTTAATCTGACACAAAAATCAGAATGCAGTAAGCAGCAGATTCTTTGCTCAATCACACGTCAGTTAAATGATCATCAAGCAATACCAATACTCTAACAAGGGAACTTCTACAAAATCCTGATAAAAACATTCCTGGAAAACAGTCATTTAAAAAAAATGTTTTAGTTGGTTTTGATGTGTCATACCAGCCTGTTTTATTGGGATATGTGGATTTTAAAGAATGAAACAAAAATACCTGACACAGCATTTTGCAGCAAGTTATCTCAATGCACAAGCTCTCAGAAATTAAGCCTCAAAACATCCCTGTAAACCAAGAACTTTACAAACAGGGAATCTTGAATCAACAGGCTAAGTCACATGTCAAGATTATACCAGGACTTGGTCTTGACTCTTGTGATGATCATATCACATCACAATATTTTGTAGAGAACGATTTAATATGACTATGATAATTACCATTCAGGTTTCATATTAGTGTTATCCTGCTGGAAAGTAACCCCTCCATAAGACAGGATGTTTTTGAGCAGAACAGTTTGACCCATTACAAACTTTTTTCAGATTTAACCCATAACTGCGAGCTTTAAAACACTAAGCCTGCATGGCTCCTCAGATATTTTGATACTGAAATGGAAGTGCTGCATCACTCTAAAACTGCAAAGTAAGGCTGATGTAGCAATAAGCACCAGCCACGTCATTAGGGAAGCACAACACGGGGTGTGTGTCCCTTCTTTTACTCTAAAGGGTGTGGGGGGGGTTCATTTTGCTTTTACTTGGCTTTTGATTTTGGCCTAGCCAGTTGCCAGTGCTCCCAGACACCTGTTCCCAAGGGACTTGTCTCACCCTCATTACCAGCAGGTGTCACATTGAAAGGATGTGAAACACTCTTGCTGCCGAGCTCAGGCTGCGGTCCCTGCTCTGGGGATTGCTGGGGAAGGCTCCACTCCCTCTTCTCCCTGAGAGGGCAGAAGTCAGCACCAGCACCTTGAGCAACCCTGTAGTTTTCTACTTGCACCATCTCTCTCCATAGCAAAGAGATGCAAAGCTTCCCGGGCCAGCTGCCCACAGCGCCAGGCAGCTGGTCTAACGCTGTACTAGCTGCTTCCCGTCCCTCCAATCACAAGATTACTGATTAATAATCATATATTTCTGTAAAAGAGCAAAAATGCCTCTCTGTGTGAAAAAGTTTAAATATATAAAAACACTTCATAAAAATATTTACTAAAAAAATCAAAATGCCCCTTGAGCCTGTAAAACCTTTCTTAACCAGAATAATTTGAAATACAGTCATTCAGGCTCTTTTCTGCCCTGTCCAGTAAGGTTTTAAGATAACCAATAGAAATGCCACTTGTCTTCTGTTTTGACTCTTATCCCACCCGTTTTTCTTCTTCTGTGTTCGTTTCTGACATGACAGTTTGATTTCCCAATGTCAGCAATTTTCTTTGGAGGCATCATTTGTCTTTGCTTTTAACAGAGTTCTGCATGGCCTGATTCTGAAGCTTCCTTATGGAGTGGGCTTGAGGTCTGATCGGTAAGATGAGTAACACCAGGATGCTTAGAATGTGCATGTGAAAATACATAGACCTGAGAACAAAAGCAGAAAGAGAATGTTACATTTTTGTCGGTAATAGCATGAACTGTGCAACCTCAGTAAGTCCATGCAGAACTTAGCACTAAGGGATGAACGCAGAAAGTATGAATTTCACACAGCCTATCCATGTGGCATCCACTGGCATCGATGAAAACGTTGCCGTGGATGTTAATGAGGCAAGGAATCAATCAGCAAACTCCAGAATCCAAAGTCTAACAGCTCAGATAAACCTCTGTAATTCAAACCTAGATTTATTCAGCCCATAACGCTTCTAATGTTTAAGTATACAAGGCTACTTTCTGAAGAAACATCCTTCAGGCACAGGACATAAAACTTGTACAAGTTTAAAAAAAATACAAAATAAAAAGTGACAGAAAGAAAAAAAAAAAACATTCAAAGTGCTGAGATCTGAAAGAAATCAGAACACTCAACTTTTAACTGGGGAAGGTCAGGTAATGATGTTTACAGAAGGGTTGTGTTTCTGAAGGCAACTACTCAGAGCTATCTTCATTTGCTCCTATATTGGATGGCTCCTATGACTGGAGTGTTGGACGGATGCAGGCTCTTCAGGAAGCACAGGCAGGGGACGCAAGGAGGGGGTGCCGCCCCCTATGTCAAGGACCAGCTGGGGTGCACGGAGCTCTGCCTGGGGATGGATGAAGAGCTGACTGAGCGCTTGTGGGTCAAGATTAAAGGGAGGGCACAGACAGGTGACGTTACAGTGGGGATCTGCTACAGGCCACCTGACCAGGAAGACTGAGTGGATGAGGCCCTCTATAGACAGATAGGAGCAGCCTCACATTTGCAAGTACTGATCCTCACGGAGGACTTCAACCACCCCAGGATCTGTTGGAAGGACAGAACTAAGCAGGGCATAAGCAATCCAGGTAGTTCCTGGAATGCGTTGATGATAACTTCTTTCTCCAAGTGACAGAGGAACCAACGAGGAGAGGTGCCACACTGGACCTTGTTCTCACCAACAGGGAGGGGCTGGTGGGGAGTGTCACACTCAAGCAGCCTTGGCTGTAGTGACCATGAGATGGTGGAGTTTGAGATCCTTAGGGTGGCGAGGAGGGGGCATAGTAAGCTTGCTACCCTGGACTTCAGGAGAGCAGACTTTAGCCTCTTCAGGGATCTGCTTGCTGGAGTACAGTGGGATAAAGCTCTGGAACGAAGAGGGGCCCAAGAAAGCTGGCTAGTATTCGAGGACCACCTCCCCCAGGCTCAGGAGCAATGCATACCGACAAGGAGGAAGTCAGGCAAAGATACCAGGAGGCCTGTGTGGAGGTACAATGAGCTCCTGGACAATCTCAAACAGAAAAAGGAAGCCTACAGAGGGTGGAAACAAGGACAGGTAGCCCGAGAGGTATACAGAGAAATTGTCTGAGCAGCCAGGGATCAGGTTAGGAAAGCTAAAGCCCAGATAGAACTAAATTTGGCCAGGGGCATCGGGGGCAACAAGAAAGCCTTCTATAGGTATCTCAGTGACAAAAGGAAGGCTAAGGAAAATGTGGGCCCACTCAAAGGAAACGGAGGACCTGATCACACAGAACATGGAGAAAGCTGAGATACTCAATGATTTGTTTGCCTCAGTCTTCACTGGGAAGGGCTCTAACCATACTGCCCAAGCTGCAGAAAGCAAAGGCAGGGACTGGGAGAATGACGTACTGCCCACTGTAGGAGAAGACCAGGTTCGAGACCATCTGAGGAACATGAAGGTGCACAAGTCCATGGGACCTGACGAGATTCATTCGTGGGTACTGAGGGAACTGGCGGATGAAGTTGCCAAGCTGCTATCCATTGTATTTGAGAGGTCATGGCAGTCCAGTGAAGTTCCCACTGACTGGAAAAGGGGAAACATAACCCCCATTTTTAAAAAGGGTAAAAAAGACGACCTAAGGAACTATAGGCTGGTCAGCCTCACCTCTGTGCCTGGCAAGATCATGCAGCAGATCCTCCTGGAAACTCTGCTAAAGCACAAGGATAGTAAGGAGGTGATTGGTGACAGGCCACATGGCTTCACCAAAGGCAAATCCTGCCTGACAAATTTGGAGGCCTTCTATGATGGCGTTACAGCATTGGGGGGTAAGGGGAGATCAACAGATGTCATCTAACTGGCCTTGTGCAAAGCATTTGACACTGTTCTGCATGACATCGTGGTCTCTAAATCAGAGAGACATGGATTTGATGGCTGGACTGCTCAGTGGATAAGGAACTGGCTGGACGGTCACACTCAAAGAGTTGTGGTCAATGCCTCCACGTCCAAGTGGGGTGCAGTGACAAGCGGTGCTCCTCAGGGCTCGGTACTCAGACCGATGCTGTTTAACATCTTTGTTGGTGACACAGATGTTGGGATGGAGCGCACCCTCAGCAAGTTTGCTGATGACACCATGCTGTGTGGAGCGGCTGACACGCTGGAGGGAAGGGAGCTGAACAGGCTGGAGAGGTGGGCATGTACAAACCTCATGAAGTTCAACAAGGCCAAGGGCAAGGTCCTGTACATGGGCTGGGGCAACCCCAAGCACAAATACAGGCTCGGCGGAGAATGGATTGAGAGCAGCCCTGAGGAGAAGGACTTGGGGGTGTCGGTTGATGAGAAACTCAACATAAGCCAGCAATCTGCACTCAGCAGCCCAGAAGGCCAACTGCATCAAAAAAAGTGTGGCCAGGAGGTTGAGGCGGGTGATTCTGCCCCTCTACTCTGTTCTCATGAGACCCCACCTGGAATTACATCCAGCTTGGAAGCCTTCAACATAAGAAGGACATGGACCTGTTGGAGTGTGCCCAGAGGAGGGCCACAAAGATGATCAGAGGGCTGAAGCACCTCTCCTGTGAAGACACGCTGAGAGAGTTGGGGTTGTTCAGCCTGGAGAAGAGAAGGCTCCGGGGAGATCTTATAGCAGCCTTCCAGTATCTGAAGGGAGCCTACAGGAAGGCTGGAGAGGGACTTTTTGCAAGGGCATGTATAATGGCTTCAAACTGGAAGGGGATAGATTTTGATTAGATATTAGGAAAAAAATTTTCACTGAGGGTGGTGAGGCACTGGAACAGGTTGCTCAGGAAAGTTGTGGAGACCCCATCCCTGGAGGTGTTCAAGGCCAGGCTGGACGAGGCTTTGAGCAACCTGGTCTAGTGGAAGGTGTCCTTGCCTGTGGCATGGGGGTTGGAACTAGATGATCTTTAAGGTCCCTTCCAACCTAAACGATTCTATCATATCTTGTTCAGTATCAGATATTTTTATGACAAATAATTTTGTATATGCAAGATTGAACAGAAATAAAATACTCTGGCAGCTTGGGGAGGACCGCATTTGGGAGCAGTAGGGTCCAGCTCTTAACCGGAGAGACGCACCTTTCTGTGATCTCATTTATGCTTCTTACCATAGTTCTAATATCCTTGCAAGGTGCTTAAGACCACTGCTTGGTGTGCAGTGCTCCAAATTTCCTTGCTTAATAATCTTTAAATTTAAGTGTTAACTATGTTCAAAGTCACTTGGGCAAACAATATTAAGGTGATGACCCAACTTGGAACAAGGGTGGAAAATAATTTTCTTTGTTCAGAACTTTGGTAAAAGTGACATTTGTGCTTTCATGGATGCTGGCATAGTGCTAGCAAGTTCCTTATACATATTTATTTCTGTAGTTTTGATGTTAGCAATGTAATCTCACAGAATTACATTAATATTTACTACGTGGAATGGCCTTTTGTAGCAGAAAGGGAACCAATTTCCCTTAGAGGGCAAATTTATAAACCAGTAGCTGCTCTCAATTTTAGTCTTTTCTCTCTTTTTTTTTTTTTTTTTTTTTTTTTTTTGTGATTGCTGTTTACTACTTTTGTCTTGAAAGACAGAAAAAAATAGATACTAACAAGCTACTTGGGAAAGCATCTTACCAAATCTAAGAATGATTTGAAGTCATTTTTATATGGTAAGCTTTCTGTGTTGAAATCAAATGTTTTAAGAAACAGCAATAGAAAATGTCAAAATTCAACCCCCTTCAAACAGTCTTACTGACAGCAGCTATCTTGATTACCAGTTTTATGTCTTTTATGCTAGAGGAGGGAATTGGCTTTCTTCTTAACCAAAACTTGTTACTCTATGTTGACAGTTCACTGTAGAATGAAAGAAAAGTAAAGCCATTTTCAAATTATTTTATCAACTTCTCTTTTTCAAATTATTTTTATTAGATTATATCCAATATGCTCTGCAACACCAGTGTTTTCTTATTTTTAAGGAATCTAGGGAAGTATTCACTGCCTATGGAAGCATTCAAAAAGAAAAGCATACTCATTTCAAGAAGTAATGCTCTGCCAGGCACCCTCCTTATCTCCTGCTGACTGATCGCATCTCCTGTTCTACGCATTTGGCAACTGGAAACATGGTCTTTTCTCATCGAGTCCTTCCTACTGCCAACTCGCGTTAGTCTTAACCTCTCCAGCCTTGGCCACTGTTAATGGTTGAGACTTGACTGTTTTGAAAAAGGAAACTGAATATGTGAAAAGTCACATAAGGACACAGAAAGATTAAGTAGAAGTGAAGTGCTCTGCCTTGGCATTATTACTATCTCATAAAGTTACAGGAGTGCAAAAATCACCCCTTACACATTATTAAACATCCTGTTTGAACTCCTTTGAAATTCAATGAAATACCAACTGCTTTTCAGTGTGGTTTGGGTTATTTAATAAAAGCCTGTGCTGGTCTGGAGAATAACAGCCAAGAGAAGAGAACTTACTTGTAAAATTTAATCGTGGGCTCAACAGCCAGCATAACAAATGGTGCAACAGTATAGCACACGGCCAGTTGAGTGACAACCCAGGTAACAACGTCGTAGGCTATCTTGAGAGGCACTGACGAGAGGAAGTAATATCTGCAATTGTTTCTTATCTGCATGTCAGGGAAAAGTAAACAGAAAATTATATAAATCCATTTCCTAGGCAAAGTCACACAGATGCATCACCAAGTATTACTCTCCACTTATCCTCAGTGTTAGTATTACAGAAAAGTTTATACACCAGTTAGAAAGCACTGAGAGCAGGAAGACAAAGTGTATTGACTGGCATACCCAAGATCCCACAGCAGCAAACTGAGAAGTGTCCCCCAGTTTCCTCTGCGATTGTGACAGAGAGCAGACTCTCATGCTGGGTATCTGGCACAATATCTTTGGGGAGGGGAGCTGTTGTTATTTGATCTTCCTCTCTCCTGGTTTTGACTTCTTACTGGTTATCAACGGTGAAACAAAGTTACTTTAAGTGAACAAATATGCGTATATACCTGCAAGCATGTGCTGTTCCCTAGAGATTTTGGTTTAGCTTCACATCTATGAAATCCTCATAAATGAGAGGCAAAGCACATGTTGAGACCACATGTTCAGCAACCTGGTCTAGCCATAGCAGTTAATACTGATCACTAGTTTAATTCACCTTTCAAATTGACCTGGTTACTTATCCATAGTCAAACTCTGAAAAACAATGGTGGTGCTTTCCAGCCCTTAACAACTGCCTTGTTCAGGCCGAAAGATCAGCAGTGATAAATTTAACAGTGAGACATGAAACCTGTTCATGACTCTACCTTTGCTGTACACTACCCAGCATGCGGCCCATAAACAGAGACCAGTTTACTGCATCAATTGCATCCACATGAAAGAGTTCAAGTTTGGGCTAATGCTCAACCCATAACAGCTTCTTGTGAAAGACTGCACCCAGAGCTCATCACATGCCAGCGTGCAGGCAACGTGACCTAGCCGAAGTCTGGACTCAAGCTTAACCTTGAATCCCAAGCTAATCTGATTGCATGGACATAGCCGGTGGCACCACCAGCTGTACACTCACATGCAACGTTTCCTCTGACAGCCAAGGACAGCATTGCAGCACGTGCAGAGTTGGTGCTGGTTATAACTGCTGGGGGTACTTTACAATTAGCATCAATACAGAACGAAGTTTCAGTGTACATCAAGCCCACAAAGGCATGAAAGAGGGCTCACAGCAGGGACAAGCTGCTTTAACACATCAGGGTGGTCACTGCAGTTGACAGCTGGATAGTATCTAGCATGGGCCTTAGAAGACAACAATGAAAGGTACATACTGCTCTGGCTGCAAGTGTGATAAGGATTCCAGTGAGAAACGTAAAATAATATCCAGGATAGATACCATGCCACAGGGCTGACAGGATAAACGTTAAAGCTGTAGGGTACCAAGGAGCTCTGTCATAGCAAACACTGCAAAGACAAAAACAAAACAAGAAGCAGCTGAATACAACCGAACAATGGACACTGCAGTTCAAATCTTTCTCTGTTTTTAAGGTCTTATTCTGTTTTCTTAGTCTTATCTTTCCTTAGTTACAGATGAGGGCAGGAGGCACACCCGTTCATTTACATGGAGCATTAGATGGAAAGAGGAAGCATGCTCTTATGCACTGAGTATCCAAAGAGCGCCTATACAAATATTCCCCGTGCTCATAGCATTTAAATAAATAACGGGGCAAAGGACAGGCAAGACTTCTCTTTCACCTTTATACCTCTATCTGGAATCAGACACTACCCTTCAGAACTCTGACGGCAGATCAAGAGTGAGTCGAAGGACAGACATGACCCCACCCTTCACTGATGAACAGAAGTATTTTTAGGCACTGTTATCTGGCAGACACTGGGAACAACAGTGAGTGTTGTAAGCTGTTGCAAAACAGGGGATTCCTGCTAACCTTAGCAGCCCAAAATCCTCCAAAGATGCAAGCAAATGACATCAGTTCAAGAACACACCAACTGGTCTATTTGGCTATCTGAGGTTTAACTGAAATGCTGCGTTCGAAAGAAAGGAGTCAAAATAATGCACTTCTTATCAGGAACATCATTTGAATAATGAAAAATAGTAGACATCGACTTTTAAGATGTATATATTTAACAACAAAAATAGCTATGATAACCACAATAAATCTGTGCCTGCATTTTAGACCTCACATTGATTGTATGCGGAGCTTTAGTCATGCCAAAAAGTATAACAAGTTACAGGAGACAGTTTAATCTACAAAACTCAGACTTATGCTAGAATTTGTAAGTGCCTTAACAGTCACGCGTTAAAATCAGATCTTCTCAGAGCTGTAAGAAGTCTCCTCTCCATATCCTGAACAGGAACTCCCTAGTAAGCATCTTCTGGTAACTCCAAACCGGACTACAATGAGGCTCTGAAGATTCCCACTTCTCTCCAGTTCTAGCTGAACTGGATCCCAGTGACATAAGGCTTGCCTCCAGTAGTAGTATGCAAGGGAAACATAACATAGCAAAGTGAAACGGTATAGCAAGAATAATGGAGGCAAACATCAGCCTAAGAGATGCCATCAAAATGCTATTACATTTTATTATGGAAGATCTGAACAGTCCATTTATAGCTTTGCTGCTCATATATAAACTGCGGGCATTTTACATTTGCAGCAATAAAACTTTTACAGCACCAAATACCCTTGTATTCCACCAACTATTAGAGACACAGGAAATAAAGACAGACAAGAGGCTATACATTTATGAGATAGTGTTTTTCCAGGCCATCTAGAGTTTTTGGGTCTCACAAGCATATTATTCTTACCGTTTTAGCCAGGCAGCTGTCTGAATGTTCCAGTTTTCAATGTACATTTTAAAACTTGTTGCAGTCTAAGAAAGAAGTTCACATGAAATGTTAGCACTAAAATCTGTAAAATACTACTTGCATTTTAAATTAGAGAGGAGATACATGGAAAATATTAATTCTAGTAGCTAACTGTTGTGAAGACTGTGCCACAGTCCATCATTACACTAGCATGTTTTGGGAGGGACATTAACTAGGCTGATTACTCACTGCAAACACTTGCCACTTGCTGTAAAATCTCACTTTGTTTTGTAAAATGAAATACAATATTTGGTTATTTTTTTAAATTACAGAAAATCTGAAAAGCTTTCCTGTTTTAAATGCTTGGCCTTCCCTTCAGTTCATAAACAGCTTCATTTTTGGAAGGGATATCTTACCACCCATTACACAGTCTGGACCTCCCTAGGGTGCTATTAAGACTATTATGAAAATGAAAAGAAATGCATTATTATTTGGAGAATGAAGGGGAAAGACTGAAAAACACAGACAAAAAATTTTAGGATTAAATTTAGAAGCTAATTCTCAGGCCACTGCCCAGCTTGAGAAACCAGAGTAGAGTCCAGGGTCCTGGGAGAACCACCTGTACCTCCTCACAGCACCAGCTCCCCCAGCTTTAGGAGACTGCTGGACTCCATCCAGTATCAGTTCCCCTAACCCTGGTCAACTTCACCTCTGGTGGTTCCCCATTCCCACCCCTCCTTGTTCCTCGCCTGCTGACAGAAACTTCCGAGGACCTCACCAAGACGGACATGACTCAGTGAAACCACATTATTTTCCTGTATCAGCTGAAGGCAAAGGCACACTGAAAAGATGGATCAAAGGCAAATTTTTCCATGAGGAAAATGCAGATATTTTTGCACCTCCACGCAGAATCCTGAAGGCTTGCTCTTCATCCTCTGAGTTTAAAGAGTTAAAATGATCAGCAATTCCCAATGCACTACTGCCACATTTTAATTGCATTACTGCACCAAGAGAAGCCAAGAAAAATACAATTTCTCTTCCAACTAATACTGTCACTCTCTTTTGGCCTCCTTTAAGTTCCCCTGTTACATTACCAAGACAGACAGTATTCACTGGCTGTAAAAATATGCATGCTGCCAAGGCTTTGAAGTCCCCCCACATGCGTTTAGCCCTGTCACATTTTAATGCCCTCACAAATCCTGCCATGTGCTTATCTTTACCACAGATCAGGTAACTTCTTAGCTACATTTAGCACTCAAGTTCCCAACTCTTAAGCAATTTTACATATGCAGATGGCTATACTTGCTGAAAACACACTGTACAATCACACTTAAACTTCAACTCCTGGAATTGCTGGTGCATAAAGTGACAGCTCAAGACTTACCCAAAGTAACAGTCTCTATAGCCTCTCTTTTGCTCATTGCACACATGATCAGATCAATGGAGAGCACTCTGTTTATGCTCCTGGAAATAATTTCTCCACCCTGATCTCTATTGCCCATGTGACCAGGAAAGGAAAATAAGTTTTGAGGGGCCTACAGTTCAGTAGGTAGACAGGAGCAAAGGGTCCTCTTTCCTTAATTTGGCTTGACTAAAGAGCATTGCCCACACTGTGCTTTCCTCCTTCAAGCAGAAACTGCCTCAGCCCATCAAGGTACGAATCATCTCCTGCTCCAAACGGAATCAAATATTGATTCAAGATCTCAGAGTGGTATCTAGGGTGCTGCGATCATTGAGGAGTGTAAAGCATTTCTGGGCTGTGTATTCTGTACCACTTAAGGAGAGATGTACAATGAGGATTAATTAAGGTAAAAAAAAAAAAAAAAAGAGACAGAGAAAGGATGTTGAGAAAGAGAGCATGTATAATGATACTTCTAGTTTTGGCATCTTTCAATGAAGAATTAAAGGGGCTCTTTCATTTTTATGAAGAGCTATTACAGCACATTCACTTAGTCAAAGATCATTCAGCAATAAAGCAGTCAACTTATTTTCATCTGCTTTTTCTTTTAAAATCATAACTACAGAATTACAGGGGGAAAGCTCCTCCTATTTCTGAAGAAAAGCAGCCTTTAGAAAGCAGTCTCAGACACAAACATTTTCACATCTCACTGGCATTCACGAAATAGTCTTCGGGGCAAACTAATTACATTGGCCATCTTTTGCATTAGAGAAACAAATATAAATAGCTTTCGAAAGACTAATGGATGTTAAAAGTATACTGCAGTCACGAGAAACATGTGTGACAGATGTTTTGAGAAACAGTGTGGTTTGCTGGATAGAACTCAAGATCAGCAGCCATCAAAGCCCTCTGGGGCTCTGCCAGTTCCAATTCAGGTTGCTCAGTTTCTACCTGTTATCTCTCTGACCCTTGCTTTTCTGCATTTTCAAGAGCCACTCCAGGCATGTGCAGGGACCCAGCCCTTGCAAGTGTTTGTGCGATGCCCACTTATGGCAGCCTCTTTCACTACCACCACCCATCTCAACTGGGTTACAAAAGTAGAAGACTGTCAGAAGTAAATAAACAGAATACACCACAGATGGTGGAGAATCATAGCTGTGAGCAATTTACTGACCCGCTGAACTTAGCCACAATCTACAGTAATTGACTGCTCATTTATTAAGCATCTGATTAATCATTTATTAGCTCTCTATAAACTATTTAGAAATGCAACCTGAATACAAAGTGTGATGAAGCCTGTGTGACAGATGCTTTTTATCTGCCCAACAGATAAAATACTCCTCATGTTAAAGAGGGGCAGCCTGGTGGCATGGACTTATTTTCCTTCCAGCAAAGCTTTTCCCCGTTATTATGCCCATTTCTCTGTAACTATGCCAATGCAGACACTTTTTTCACTCACCTCAATGTTCCAGATATTCAAATTGGACAACAGGTCCCAGCGGAAAGTGCCTCTTTCATCAACTCCACTGAATCCATAACCAGCTGCATTGTTGACTGCATCTGCTGCAATGTTAAAGCAAAACGGGTCAAATCAGACTACTGGAGGAGCCATGTTTTCTTACAAGTCAGTATGACACTAAACACACATTCAGGCCAGCTTTGTAGCAATTACCATCCTCTCATTCAAAGAGAGGCTTACTCTTGGCAAAGGGGCATTGCTATAAGGCAACACAAGAGTAATTTCCTCAAGAGGAACGACTAGCAACTCCTTGGGCAGAAGAAATAAAATAATAAAATAAAAGCGGATAGAAATCACTTTTCCTATTATTTTGCCTTTGTTAGCCGAGATAGATATACAAGAGGTGCCATAAAATGAATGAGCATTTTCCTCAAAAGGGCACCTGGATGTCACACCATTCTCCAGAATTCAGAAAAACTGCAGTGTCTCAAAGACATGCTTACCATTTCTATTAAGAGTTCCAACATAGTTGTTTTAATTAAGACGTTCATTCAGACTTCCACAGACAAAGCCTTTTGCTAATCCTGTTGCTCAGTGCCTCACTAAAGTACTTCAGCATCTCTACAAATCAAATATTGAGTACCTTCAATTACCGACTTAACTACTTTAAGTGCAAATAAGAGCTTGGGTAACAGTAGGCATTTCACATGCTGCACTCCTGCTCTTTTCCAGGGCACTGGTCAACTACCTCCCCTCTCAGCCTTGCCTGGGAGTCACCTCATCACTGAGTTTCAAGATTCTGCTTTTTAACGCTCCCCTGCCAGAAATCCCATCTCAGAGTACTAAGAAAACAGAAGGGATTCATTATGTCTGGATCACTAGGTGTAGCCAACACTGAGGATTACTGGAAGAAAAAGGAAAGCAAAAATGCAGGTAAGACTTTTCTTTCTAGATCATTTACAAAATACAAGCCTGGTTAAGTTATGCTTTAAAAAGGTCAGCATTTCTTTGCCAATAATGCAAACCGATTTTGCTTTGTAAATGCTATGAGTACAGGCACAAACTCACGGAGAAGTTCTAATGCACAAAAGCAGGGAGAGAACCTAATTAAAAAGCAACTAAACTAAGAATAAATAAATAAATAAATGCACAACCTTCTCTAACTTGAAATTTTCTCTCTTATTTTCCACTTTTCTAAATGAGCTAGATTTTACTGATGGAAAAGAAAGGTCTCCAAGTTTTTCATTCTCTCCCTATTAAAAAAAAAAAAAAGCCAACAAACAACAACCCTGCCTGAAATTGGCTGATAGGACCCTGCCCAATCTCAGAGACTGGAGCTGCACGTAACTGTCACCCCAGAGCAGGGGGACTCCTGGATTTGCTCCTCCTTGCTCCAAGGGTGGCAGGAACGGCTTAGTGTTTCTTCGCCAAAAACAAGAAACCAGACATAATAATACAGCAGAACCGTCAGCCTCTCGCTTCCCAAGCTGCTGCCTGCAGAGCAAGGTGTGAAGTGCAGAAGAATTGCAACTGTCCACCCTTGAATTGCGCACAAAACCCCAACCTCCACAAAGCCCAGCAGAGGTTCCCCTGCTGATTTGAACAGCTCTGGTGTATTCGCTTTCACAGCTCCTTGTTTGTGGATGCTCAGTCCCAAACTGGTTTCATTGACAGCTCTGAGTTAGCTTTGCAGCCACGTTCCCATGATTATTGCTAATGCAACGAGAAGGAGAATTTTCTGTCTTTCCATGGATCTGGCAGAATTCAGCAACATGGCTCAAGCACAAAAGCGTGCCGGTCCTTTTCTGTGGACAGGAAGCACTTCTCGGCTGTTTCAGCAGGCACTTTTCTAATGCCCTGGGCCATGCCACCAGGAGCTAAAATGCAACAGGGTAAAGTGTCTGCTGTTCTGCTGCCTGGATTTGCAAGGTGACTAGTAGAGGTCTCACCCTCCAGTATGCAATGCATGCTTTTCCTGAACCCCCTTATTTGTAAGATATTTCTACAGCCTCTACGGCTTAGTCATGTCACAAATACAAGTTCAGTTTATGTCTTCAATAATGGACTTAAATGGAGGCAACAATTGAACATTGGATCCCACAAAAATAAGTTTCTGAGCAAGCAATTCTTTATCCCAAAGCCTTTCCCATCCCACACGTGCCAGTCCTGACTGTCTTCCCTCAATCTGTCAGTTTTATTCCCAGCAGTTTAATCATAGTCTTGCAATGAATTTCCCTGGCTCTTTCCATGCCATCTCAATGGCACTCTTCTCAGTTTCAGGTGTATGCATTGCTGGCTGGGCTTCAGGATCTCCCCTATGCACAAAGTCTTGTACCACCAGCAAAAAAAATTCAGTCTCTCAATTTTCAGCCTGGCCTAGAAGGATTTGATTCCTCACACATAGATGGGAAAGGTGACTTCTAAAAGGAAGAAGGTAAAATACAAAAAGATTATTTTGACCACCTGTCTAGCTGGCTCCCAGTAAAAGATGTTTGCTTCTCTCTATAATGAGCCCTCTTCCTCCTCTTCTTCTTTTGCTTGCAGAGATTCTTGGGTCCTTTCCATCACCTCCTTTATTCCCCACCCCACGGTTCTCCAGTCCTTTCTCTTGACCGCCCAAAGCTAATGCGTATACAGGACCCCATAGCACCCTAGAGGCAAAGCCTAACTTCAGCCCCTCAACAAGCACTACAGCTTTCTAATACAGATGCATGTGCTGAAGATGTCCCTAAAGGAAGAGAGAGGTCTGTTTGCACTGTAACATACTTGTAAAGCTTAAGTCAGTGTGACAAACTTTAACCTCCTAACTCCACAGATAAGTGGCAAATTATGAATAAAGCATAAAAATCAAGGTTTAGAGGAGGCAAACTACCCCCACCCCCTAAGAATTCTTGTAAAAATTATTTTGGTACAATTACAAAGTTCTAAGTAAGAGGAAATTGTTACGTTGACCTTACTGACAAGAAGCTGAAAAGCAGATCTGGTTCCAGAAGCAGTGGATGTCAGACAAGCTAGAAGGTACTTTATGCACATTTTTCAAAACTTTTGACATCTCCCCACTTCAGTGGGATCCATTGCCTACATCTCCCACGTGAACTACAGGTCCAGGGACTAATTTATCCCCCCTCCCCGCCCCCCAATGTTTCAGACCCCCTCCCCTATTTATGAACTTAAGTTACCCACAAAAATACGTGATGTAGCCAGACTTACCTAACGTCCATGCAAAGTAATACTTTGGTTTTGCTGCCTGTGTTACAACATACAGGTAACCAAGTCTTGACAAGAAAGGTGTTTTATCAAGGAATTCGTTATCAATAATATATGCCATAGGAAAGTTCTTGGTAAGTGTCAAGAATAAAATGAGAGATACTAGTGTGATACACAGCTTGTACATCACTGCTCCCTAAAAAGCAAACAACAACAAAATGTTCATTAGAAACATTTGCTTAAGGGGAAGAAAAAGGCAGTGCTCGTGACATAAAACCAATGCACTTCAAGAACCAATAAAGTTAACAGTGACAAAGTTGACAATAATTAATTTAGAAGCAGTGACAAAGAAAAGGCCACAGTCAAAGCTTTGGTTTAATTAGGCTTACTGAATTACCTATAGATAGGTACAAATGACAATTAGAAGTCAAAATTGGTGATGAACTTCATGAGAGACTCCTACATCAGTTAGTGGAGGTCCTAAAATGAGAAAGGAAACAAACAAACAAAACCCTACAATGGAAAGCAGAAATCTTTCCTATATGTACTGTTATCTCCTGGAACTGAAGACTGGATTCCTCCTGGAAGCCAAAAGCATTGGTATTCAGCACAAGAGTAGGTCTTACTGTCCTACTATCCAGAGGCCTTGCTAAAAATCACTTGTCCAAAAAGTGTACATCTTCCACAGCATGCATACCTTCTCATGATATAGGATATCTGCTACGCCACAGTTTTCTGTTACAGCTCCCTAGCTTTCTATATACTACTACTGACAATCATGTCAGTAGTTTGAAGCTCAATTTCAAATATGCATCAGGAGTAAACTCTCCTTGATACAGTCATAATTAAAAAGGTATGTCTGCCATTTAGGTACCATGTAAAAATTGACTCATGTTCTCAAAAGACTAATCAAAGTGCAAAATACTCTTGAAAGAACAATGCATTTTTTGATCCCAAGTGTTCTTTTTATGTATTCTCCATATTCTGGAATAAACTAATATCCAATTATCTTTAATTATCTGCTGACTTGCATCTAACATGGTATAGGCCTTGTTCTGACCTCAGTCAGACTAGTGTAAATCAGAAGTAACGCCGCTAAAGTCAGTAGAAATACAATTGCATGCAACAGGAATCAGATATGCATAGGAACACACTCAACTTCAGAGGAGACATTCCGGACACACTCACAAAACTACACATTCAGTGTCACCTTAAGATAAGAGAGAGAAATCTGGTTCTCATTCTACGTTATCCTGCCTTACAAGAAGGTCATTTTTTAAGGTTTAAGTAATATTAAAAATATATAAAATAAAATTTATGCTAATAGTATGTGAAAATGACCTCCAAGTCATCTTAAAGTGTGAGATTCTGTTGCAAAGCACCTGGACAAGCTAAAGTTTCTGGTTAGACATGATTCATGTACTTCTAATGTCTCCTGCACTACAGGTGAGATTTGACTGGTTTTTTTACCTGACATTTCCTCTTCTGTCTGGAACTGAACTGCAACTCATCATTGTCAGAACCTGCAGACCATTCCCATCACTGCACAAAGGACACCCATTAACCAATGACCTGTTTTCCAAGCAAAATGCATTTGGGGAATTCAGGAGGAAGACACTAGCCCCTTCACCCCTGACCCTAAAAACAGCAGCCACTTCAGAGAAAAAACCCACTGTAATGGTTACAGGGAAGACAATCCAAAAATGGTTTTTGTTCTTAGTTTTTAATTATGAGAATCATGTACAAAGCTGTACTCTCCTGCCCTTTGCAATAAATCTTTGTCATTTTAAAACTTACAGTTGGAGAAGGATCAGGAAGTCTGTCATAACCCTTCTGCTTCCAGTTCACTTCTAACAGTTTCATGTGCACATGCCTTCCTTCAATGAAGGCTATATAATCCTTGTAATTGCTGCAAGGCCCAGCTATGATGCTCATAAAATTGAGGAGATAGCTTAAATACTCTAGTAAAGAAGGTCTTGTCCTGTGAAAATCATCCACGCACAACAAACAAACAAACAAAAAAAAACAAGGTAAAACACAGCAAAGGCTTTCACGAATGCTTTTTGTTGTACTGTCTGCCTCAGTCTCCAACTCTCTCCTACCGCCCGCCCCCCAGCTGAAAGCTCAGTAGATCTGTTTTGGAGCAAATGAAGCACAGCCTCTCTTATATCCCAGTGATGTCTGGCAGACGGCACTCAGAACAACGATAACCTGGAGGTGCTTAAGCTACAGGTGAATGAACGCTACTGATTTGTAAAGTTGTAATCTTATTGCTAGAAACATTTTAGTTAAAAACAGTCATAAATTTAAATACTCACTCTTAAACAAATTGACTCACACATTTTGAACAGGCCAGGAGTGAGAAGCTGGTAATTGGTTTTGGACATCTGTCCAGTATGTCAGGGACCAGTAACAGCTGGCAGACCACAAGCTGAGTAACACTGGTCTCACCAAGCTGTGCAATGCAGTACTTTGCCTTGTTATGCAAACCACAGGGCAGGGAGCGTTCAAGACCAGGACTCTCAGGCCTGAGAGGAGCTCTTACCCACCCTTCGGTTCAGCCTTTTGAGAAACAGGAAGTGTGATGCGAGATATAGAGAATGAAGAGGCACTCTGTCCTACTGTGCAAATAAAGGAAGTAATTGCTTGTATTGCATCATGAACAGGAAAAGGAACTAAGGGGAAAAAACAGATAAATCAAAAGACAGCTGAAGATGAAAGTCAAAGAAAGTCCATCGTGTTCGTTATTTCCATTTTGCAAGTGCATATCCCACAAGTTCCTTCGGGGGTTTTACATTAGATGTAAAATGAAGAAGATCCTCTGCCCTTGCTACAGGTCAGTAGGATGGAAAAGAAAGATGCAGAGGTCTCTCACCACTAGGGCAACTTGTAAATTGTTGGGCATGCTTTATTTATGTGGGACAAAACACCACCATCCAAATTCTGCACTGAGATACGTAGTGCTCTTCATGAATGTGCTAATAGTCACCATCCAAGTAAATGAGGATTCCCCAGATGACAACAGAAACTAGGGCACAGTGCTTCAGGGCTCTACCATCAAGACACAGATGGACACGCATAAACCAAAACCCACTTAAAATTCTTTCGGACCAAAACATAAATTTCTAGCAGAAAAACTAAGCAACAGTTAAACATTTGCTGTTGCCTACTTTTATTCTGAAGCGGAATTAGTTTGAATAAACAGATAGCTTAGCCAGGATTTTCTGCATTCACCCTGGCGGTTATTGTAGATGTTAGTGCCTGAATGATATGTTCTCTGGTGAAAGCATTTCACAGAAAGATGCAGAGAACAATTTGGGACAAGGCTCATCTTTCTGTTCTGCAAAATCAGGTCCATGATTTGGACTTCTGAGCTCTAAGATAAGATTAAAGTCATTAGTTTCAACTTAGATTCCGCACTTGGTGGGTGGGGAGACATGAGCAATGCAGGAAGGAATGTACAGAGGATGAGTGAGAAACAAAAACAGACCAAGAACAGGAGGGAAGACAAAAGGCTGTATTACCAAAGGGGATTTAAAACTCTTCAGTTGTGACTTGTCTGACACTTGAGCTATTGGCATGCACTTTTCTATTATGAGCTCATATACTGTACATGGGGAAAAAAAAAAAAAAAAAAAAAGCCTGTTTGGTGAGAATTTGACTAGAATTAATCATATGGTCACAAGGGCCCAGTGCAGTTAAACATTATGTTGTGAGCTTTAAAAATAGACAGAAAGCTATGGGTCACAGCAAAAGTTATAGGAGTCTCCCTGCAGGATTTCTCCTTGTCAAGAAATTACTCCCTTCTTACTTTTAGAAGCTCACAGGCAGATTTTCTGATGGCTGACTCTTCAGCTTTGGAAATTAGGGAATTAATTTCCTTGTCCTTAAACAAATACTTCATAGTGAAAGGTAATTATTGTTTTAAGGCTGATTCTGTAACACTAATTATTCTAAAAAAAAAGTAAAAGAATTCACCTGCATCCTGCACTTGTACTGAGAGACAAAATAGAAAGAAATAGAAAAAAAAAAAAGGTGCTCAAACATACAATCAACATGCTGTCTCCCTCTGAAAAATGAGAAGACTAGTCACATGCCATGAAGGACTAGGAGTATTAACATTACAGAGGGAGACAGGAAAAATAGAATTTCTGTGTCTGATAATTATGGCAAAGAAAATGAGTACTTGATGTGTCAGAGTCAAACCAAAATGGATTTTTACAGTGCTTTCCTGACAGAGGAGCATTCTACTTGCAAAAATAACATATCACAGATAGGATGAAGAGCATAGCCAAAAAGTCCATACAGTACAGTCTTAGCTTGCATATAAAAGAGTTGATTCTGCAAAAACTAGTTTTGTTTTATGTGGAGTATATATTTAAGTCAATTAGAAGTTGACAAGTAGTTTAGTGCTTCGCTGACCAGCACAAGGTGATAAAGGCAGAAGTCCTGGATTGCAGAAATAAGGAATACAGCAGAGAAGCTATGTTTGTGTAAGGAGGGCACTGACAGCAGCATTACAAAAACAAAATGGCTCAAGCAAATAGAAAAAGCCAGTAGGACTTTTGGCTTATTATGGACTGGGAAGATGCAGGGAACATTTTCGTGGCCAGGCCACTAAGCTGGTCCCAACATTGCAAAGAGGGAAAAAAAAAAAAAAAAAGAAGACAATAAACAAACCCAAACCCTAAATTTCTTGCATGAAATTAAACACAAATCACTAGGGGAATTAAATTCTTACTTTACAGCAAGCCGATTTTGCTCAGCAGTGAGTTCCTCAGCTTGTCGCCCTATTCCTAGAGAGAAAAAAAAGTCACATTAGATCTTTCCAAAAGCCCTCTGCTTGCATCCCACACATAACTTTCTAAAGCCATGAGCTTCAAGATTTCTTTGTCACAGGCAGTTGTAATACAGCTCAATTCCCAACTTTTAGGTCAAGTATATTCATGTTCCACCCTACCTCTTTACCTCATTCCCCCTTTCTCACCCTTGCTACACTTTCAGGAAGAGCAGCCATAGCATTCACACACACACAATGCAACTCACAATGCCACCAACTGGCAGCAACCCCCAGGAGCCTCTGCTAACAGTCCTGGGCTGGAAAAACCTCTGTTCCCAGAAGCCACCGGCTCATTTAAGGACAAGCCTCCCGCTGGCCCCTTGGTGAGAAATGGAGCATTTCACAGCAGGAGGAGTGGGCAGTGGAAGAGAAACGGGCTCTCAGGAAACAGAAGCTCCACTGGTGTGAACGAGCAGTCTGGCTGCCTGCTGCTGGAGCAAGCCTAAACACACACATCAGAAATAATCTGGAATTGTACATGGCCCAGACTGGAAGAGTGACCTCCTGTTGAGTGCACAAGACCTTTGGGGCCAGAGGTAGAGCACAGACTTGCTGTCCCAAGAAAACTATGAAAAATTCTTGTATGATGGCCAGCGAACAGATGTTGATCATAGCAAATATCTCAAAACCTTCACTCTGAAGCTTTAGCTGCACATACTGTGAGGAATCCCACTGGCTGCAGCAGAACAACTCACCATGGGATGAGTCACAGCACTCGATGCTGAGCCTGCATATATACATCTTCACAAGATCGGGGGCTTGGCATCAATTAACACTACTGTTCTAAACACACTGGCCATAATTACCAATACACATACACAAGAGACATTTCCTAAAAAGACTGCTGATAAGCTGCTCATTTCTATTCTCTCTCCACTATTTCAGTTTGTAAATACCGGGAGGGCTTGAGTTCCAGGGAAACAATTAAGCACGTAATTACTTAAAGGGCTGGGTATTTTCTTTGTTTCCATTTATGGGTAGCTGCGTTAAATTTTTACAAATAGAGATTTGTCACTGATGCCTGAACTGCAAGCTGCCTCCATATCTACTGTTCCATATATAGTTGTCCACAGCGTAATAAGCCTTTTACACCATCGTTAATCTGTAGGATTTCTGGCATGCTTAAAAATGCTTCTGCCTCTGCTGCTATCTTTTCCTTTCTGCCTGTTCGTTTACCTTCAGTATCCTAGGTGTGCATCTAGGCTGCACACCAGTGTGGCACACAACGATACCTGAGCTGGCTAGCTTAAATAACAGAAGCAGAGAAGCCCCAGCAACATGAATGTCAATGACAAGGTCAATTAGCTGAGCTTCGAGCTGCACCCATTATAGCCAGCTAAAAGCATTAGACTCACTTGTGTAAACTTGGCTTGCGAACAATGCCAGACCCTGCACTCTGTGGTGTGCACCTAAATCTTAGATCATAACAACTCTATAGCAACCTACTTATTTTGTCACCCACAGCTTATAATGCAATGGGCCTCAGACCATCAGTAGCTCACACTGCAACATCAGGAGACATGAGCAATAACGGTACTGATGACAATTGACATTTCTAGGCTTTGCACTGTACTAGACATGGGCATTTTACTGGGAAATAATACTGCTCTTTGTCACAGCACAGCACAAGACTGAAGACAATGCTATTTTGTTTGCAACTGTGCTTGTCCCTGCACTGGGAAAAAGCTATTGAATTCCATCTCTCGCAACTCATGGAGTATATTATCACTGAATATATCAGTGATAGCATATTTTTGCTACACTGACATTAATGGCATGAATGACATTAATGTATCAAATACAACTCGATACAACTCAAGAACAGCTTCAGATAGCTTAATGGAAACGTACTGTAGCATCTGAACAGCAGATACTGGTACTAGCTAAAATCCAAATTGGGCCCCAAGGAAGCAGAGCCCCCAAAAGGGAAAACAGTTGTCTTCATTACTGCAAAAACAGTTTGATCCCAGGGAACTGATCAAAACTTGAAGTTTCTCGTTTTCCTCCATAAAGCATTTTTCTTCTTCATTTGGAGCAACTCGCTGAACTACATTCATCCACTCCGTAACTCAACCACAGAATGTGCTGGAATAAAAAGGCTGTCTTCACGACATGGGAAGAGATTCCTTTTCTTACCATCATGTAACTGGCATGCAAGTGTTGTGATCTTCTGTGTAATTATCATCAGCGGACTATAACAAAGACAGGAACAACAGTTACATGTCTTGTAATACAAATTACTCCCAACTTTCCTACTGAATGTCTTTATTCCTTTAAAAGGCGTAACTGTATTAGCAACAAGTGGAAAACATCCAATTAAAACTGAAGGAGGAACTCAGGCATAAGACAATTGCCTGGGTTCAAAACAATCCCACAGTAACTTGCACTGGAATTTTTAATTGCTAAGTGCACACAAAGCCTTATTTTATGTCTCCCCATCCTGCAGCGGTGCAAATTGTAATTCAGAAGAAATCACACCACTAGGAAACACCAGCTTCTGCAGTCCACTGAGCTTCCTTTTGGGCAAAGACCAAATTCAAGCCCCGTACGACACAACACTAGAATACAGCAATGCTGCTGTAACATAACTCTGGCTCTCCTTACTGTTACTCTCCTATTGTCTGTCTCCTCAGTGCCCTATAAAAATGTCAACTCTGCACATACACATGCTTAT